TATGTCACATGCAAGTAAAATTCTACTCCATATCATAAATAACCGCTTAAAGCATTTTTTGCTCCCACAGACCCCTGACGAACAAAGAGGATTTATGCCAGGAAAAGGAACAAGAGAACAGACCTTAAATGTAAGACAAATAATTGAAAAAGCATATGAATTTAATGTTAAAACGTATTTATGCTTCGTCGACGACAGTAGGGCTTTTGATTGTGTAAAGTGGAAGAAGCTGTGGCTGGTGTTAGAAAACATGGGAGTACCAAAACATGTTATATTTCTACTTAAAAATCTTTACGAATACAGCTCCGGAAAACTCAAAGTCAACAACGCTCTCCCTAAATCTTTTAGTCCGAAACGTGGTGTGAGACAAGGTTGTATAGTATCACCCATACTCTTCAACATCTATGGAGTGTACATAATGAGGAAAGTTTTACAGGGCTGGCAAGGCGGACTAACTATATAGGTGGAAAAACGATCACAAACCTTAGGTATGCCGATGACACCATAATTCTTGCATGCTCTGAGAAAGGACTTGGAAGGAACAAAAGGAAAACGCAAGTCATGATAATAGACCGAAATCCTAGTAACATCAAGGATATTGATGGTTTTGAAGTGGTTGAAAAGTTAAATTACCTCGGATCCCTCATAACAAACAAGGGAGGCTGTGACGAGGAAATCAAAAGCAGATTAGCAATAGCTCGTAACTCGACTATAATACTCGCAATATCCCAGCGCAACAAATTAAAATTAGAAAACCAATTGATCTTTCCAATCGCTACTTATGCATCAAAGATGACTCTGAAAACTACAAACAGACGAAAAATAGATACTTTCGAAATGTGGGCCTACAGAAGATTGCTGCGAATTTCATTCATCTCAATCATTCATCTCAAGACCATCGGACCATCGAGTTGAAAGTTAACACAAGACTTTCAATCAAAATAAACCAGTCATACCTTAAGTACTTCGGGATCATTTCGAGAAGAAAACGAACAGATGGACTGGAAAAATTATAATCTCCGACGGCGCTGGGTAGACCAAACCAAATAAATTATTGATCACGGCCTGCAAGAGGCTTCTATAGCCGCTCAAGATAGAGAGGGATGGAGAACAACGATCCGAGCAATTGAAAGAAATGTATATGTGGCATTGCTATTTCCGAAGAAACCAAGTCCTTAGTTTGTAGAATTTTATATGAATAGCAGAATATCTTCAGTCAATTGGTATATTTTACTCAACTAGTTGTTATTGATATTTGACAAATAAAAATAATATACAATATAGCAAGTGTAAAAACTAAAAATGTTTAAATTGGATATTAAATTAAATGGAAATCTCACGAATATAGTTAAATCCCTAATACTAGGTAGTATAAATAATTTTGACTTAATAAAATTGAGAATTATAAAACTAAACCAGTTTTACATATTTGATAAAATTAGGACTATTACGATAAATTATTGTAATCCTGTTATTTCATTATGGATTTAACACAAACGTGATAACTAAATTTAAATAAACGGCACGTTTACAAAACGATTTAACAATTCTGGTTCACGTGATGATTGGCAATAATATTGTTGACTAGTGTTTTAGGTTTATTGCTGTATCATTATAATTGAAAAATATAAGTCGTTTTGATAATAAGCCAGTTTTGCAAAAGTCAGGTATGACAATAATAAAAATCTTTTACAGTGATAGGTGTAAATTAATTTATAGGTTGAATAAAAAAATATTGCAATAATAATCATAAAGTCAATTAAGGGGTAATAAATGAAATATTTCAATTATAAGATAAGCCTGGAATGTAGAATTAAAGCCAAAAATGTATTTGCTTAATGTTGATGGCAAAAAATGTAATATGTAATACGATTATATTAATTATACAATCCTGGCAAGCAAAACCTTGGGTCGGCGTTTACATGTATAGGATATATTTCGGATAATATGGAATACCATTTTTATTTTTCTATATAAATTATATAATATTGGTTTTTTTAATCTCAAATTTTGGAAATAAATAGCTAGTAGTATTGTTTAAAAGAGCATCCTGTAGAAATTAGATATCTAGAAAGATTATGAAGTTACAAAAGAATATAGAGAAATGTGAACTTCTGTGTAGTCAAAAAAAGTGGCGGGTAATATGGAATAGGTATGGCGGGTAATATGGGATAGGATAAATAATTATAAAAAATGAACGGTAAAGAAAAAATTACTACTACTAGTTGTTTTATGTACAAAAATCGCACAAAATTATTTCCGTCTCGGCGTTTCTGCAAGCTTAGATAATACAACTTAGACAATAGAAGGTAATTAATTTTTACACTAGATAGATTTTGACTCGCTTGGCTCATTTTGTCACGCTTGGTCAGTACCAACAGAGTGCCTATATAAATGCTCAAATTGTAGGTAATAGTTTAGTTTTAATCATCTGCTGATGATGCTGAAATGGTTTGCGAAACATGCGTCCATAGTTAAAGTAATGAGTTTATTTTGCTGTTGTAAAGCCAAAGGTTCCAACACCCAACTATAAGCTTTAAAAATCATTCTATTAAAAATATCCTATAAACTATTCACCCTTCAGTGATTATGGTTGGGCGATATGAAATACTCCAATGTCGTGTAATATGAAATATTCCATATTACCCGCAATACATGTATCATAAACAACAGAATATTATTTATTTAATATTAACCCGAAGGTATTAACTAAATACATAGTAAACAAATCGTCCCATTGCTGCCAAAAGTCACTAACTTACTTTTTGTTACTTCTGAGAAGATGCGTCTAAAGATGAATTGCATTGCATAAAGATGTTATAGTTAGTAACTATTCGGTATCAAAATAAAACGTAAATAGCCAGAAATCGTAGCTAATGACTTTGTCAATCGATTCTCCTCTTCAAAATATAGTTAGTGATTGAATTTTTGGTTGTTCGGGCAGATCCACAGAAACTGCTCTGTACCAGTTAACTGAGCTAATACAGGCAAGCCTGGATAGCAAAGAAACAGCACTTTGTGCCTTCTTGGACATTGCAGGGGCGTTTGACAATATACCTCACAAGGTGGTCAAGCGATCTCTTGAAACAAGAGGGGTGAACAGTACGATAATTCGCTGGTTTTGGGAAATGCTCTCAACACGAACAGCAGAGGCTGAGATAGGTACCAAAACTGTAGTTGTTAAAACAAATCAAGGAACTCCTCAGTAGGCTGAAACTGAGAAACAACGGCGAATGCAGATTTTGTGGGGAAAATGGGGAAACACCAGAACACCTTATCACTGAGTGCGCTGAGACGACGACCATTCGTGCCATGAACCTTGGCACGTCTGATGTCGAGGATGGAGAGCTGGCCTCTGTGGAGCCGCCTCAGATACTGGCTTTTCTTAAAGCCCTGAGACTGTATGATGAGTTATAACTCGTTATAACTCAAGAAAGGGGAACACACAATAGATCTATAAGGTCGCGGTGATTAACTCCCCTCCTAAACATTCTACATTCTACATTCTACAACCTTATTTTACTAGGCGTTGACCGTACTCTTCGTACGCACGAAAATCGGCACCCAAGGCCAGAAATGCCGACCCTACTATAATAAATTTATATTCTTTTATGATTTTTAACTTACATACCGGGTGTTGTCAAATTCGAACTCTCTAGGAATCGAAAGAGATATAGGGTGATTTAAATTGGGACAAAGTTTCCTGTTAGTGAGCCTAACGATAATCATTTTGAAAACGAAATTGATCTTAACACTGGTCATTTCCGGAAATATGGCGGTTTTAAAAAAACTGAAATTCCAAGTTCTCGATTTTATTTTTTTACGAGTTTATTTTGACAGAAAAAACTTAGAAAGCCATTCTTAAAGAAACTTTCTTAGCTTCATCTTTAGGTTACTTGAAAACCCACTTACGACGTTTAGTTTTTCTGGAACCATCTTCAACTTTATTTTTCGAAATACGGATATGGGTTTGCTTGGAGAAACTTATGACCTCCCAAATACAATGGTGTGGTTGCTTAAGAAATATATAATGAGGAATATTCTCATAAGAGGCAATGTGTTGAAGAGAGATACGTATACGACTCAGTTTCATTACGTGCGTGTAAAAAACAAGCAACATTTTTGGGTAAGTGCAATACATCAAACAAAATGAAATAAAAAATCCCGAGTTAGATGATGATGCTCCCAAAAAACAAAATGACTTAAGTGATTTTTAACATCATCATAGGGTAAATTTTAAAAAGTTTCTTTGTGAATGTATTTGTACATTTTTTCTAACTGTCAAAATAAACTTAAAAACCGGAAATTTGAGTTTTTTTGCCATATTTCCGGAAATGATAAAGATAAGTTCAATTACTAAACGAATTATCGTTGGTCTCACTAAGAAGCAACTTTGGTCCAATTTAAGCCACGTTGTACCCTCTAACCGTTTCCGAGATTCCAATAGTGAGATCCGAATTTGAAACATCCTGTATAGATACAGCTTTTTCAGTATCAGCTGCTTACATTCGTTTGTTTTTGAGCATCCACATTTCATCTGCCTAATGAAACACCTGTTTCACACCTGTAGATGCCAGGAGTTGTCTTTGTAGCTCTGGTTGAGAAACATTGGGATTTCTTCTAGCATTTGGCACGCAAAGTGGTCTTGTTGTTCAGTTGTGACTCTTTGACGACTTTGTCAAGGCCTGTTCTTGAGAGTAACTTGTTCCAAGTACCTTGCATATGTTGCTACGTCTCTTTGGGGCATTCCTTGTTCAATGAGAGCAATAATTCTTCCTCTCTATACATCTGTTAATCCAACATAGGCCTTTTTTATTATGCCTTATCTTAAAGCTGTATACCAATTTTTTTCCTTGCAAAAAGTTTAGTCAGAAATAAAGAATGATTTCATGTTCCATATAAGATTGGTTGTGTGTATTTAATAAGCATAATAAACACTATGCTTATTAATTTTGTATAATATCTGTAAGTTATTACAAATGACTTTGTTTTATTTTCAGCATGATTACCAACTGCAGAGACAACAAGAAAAATGTTCAAATGAATGGCGAATTTTCGAATGTGCTGACTCGAAGGGACAAAGAAATACCGGATAGGAACACATTAGACGAAGCCGACGACTGATTTCTTTTGGTGAAAACCCTCTTCTAGAAATATTTCTATTTACATTACTAATGTGATCCTGAACGTTGTACTTAAAATTCAGCATAAAATATTAGTTAAATCAATATTAAGATGTACAAACGTGTGGTTCGAAATAATAACTTTGTGTTTTTTTTTTGTCGTGCACAAATTTTGTTTTATGTCTACAGTACCTACGTTCCCGGATTGTGTTTACATGAGGGAAAACCTTTTTAATATTAACTTTATACGAAAAATGCACTCATCATAAAATCAATTGCTTGATATAAAAGGGTTTATGCCGTGTATATTTTTCCTAATTTCTATACGTTCTTAAAAAAATATTTAAATATTTTTGAATTTTTTCCAAGTCTCAAAAATCATAACGCGTTTCTATGATAATATCATTTTTAGGCTTTTATTCTTTGATAAAAGGATAGTATTAATTTTGATGAAATGTCATATTTTTTGCTGTTTTAATATGTTAAAGAAGCACATCATTTATTTGGCTAAAAGTATAATGGGATGAACCATTTTAGAGCAAGCAACATTTTTTATGAAGAATGCATTTTCTCAAAAACTTAATAATAAAAAGTGTTTTTCCTCTTGTCAAGACAATCCAGAGACATACTGTAGATACATTTTCGACTGTTTAGTTAGTGTACCTATCTCATCTTCTTTTTTAATTTGAAAAATGTGTGCTCATCATTAAATAATAATGTTAGGTGTGGCTGTTTACATGGTTAACAGTTTGGTAAAAATATACGAAATTTATTTAATGATTTCTTTTTAACTAAAAGTTTGTGGTAGAACGTAGAGCGCATTATACTTTTTTATAAATGATTTTAGCTAACATTTGACTTCGATGATAGTTTGTGCTATAAATTGGCATAGGTATTGCAATAAAAAATAATATTTTATTTTTACCAACCAAAAGCATGCAATACAAAATTCCACGATAAAAATACATAATAAAAATGTTTTTCTGTCCGTATTTAAAAAATAATTATTTCGTTGTAAAAAGCGAGATACGACTAATAATATGGAATAAAGTACTTAGAAGCAATAATATACTAAAAATATATATTGCATTTTTATAATATTAGCTCTTTTAATGTGCCTGCACTGAACGATAGAAATGCTTTTTAGTATGCATTTTATTCGATTTATTAGGAAAATCGCTGTGAACATGGTTGAGGAAGTCATGTATATGCAAAGTAGAATTCTTTTCATATAGAGATCTGATGGATTTGCACGTGATGCAAGTAATATGATAAAAAAGCTTTTATTGAATTTCAAAAAGTAGATTTAAAAATAATAAAAGATATTTTTTTTATTGAGAGAACAATAAATAGCACAGCAAAATCTGTTAATCGAACTTTCCGTATCCTACATTATTCTCAATATTTATTATATACCGTATGATCGAAAAAAAACGGCGTCAGCGATGTCTATGAAATGAAGATCGCCGTAATTTTATATGTAAATTTATATGGGAAATGTCATCGATGTTCATTTCATAGCCATCGCTGAGGCCGTTTTTTTATCGATCATACGGTACCTGTATAAGTGAAATTTGTTATGAAGTGGCTATTAAAGTGTCAATTTCAGTTGGCCGTCGGCACGTGTTTTCAAAAGGAAGGATTTTTTAGGGCACCGGAAAAAAATTAACCACAACCCTAGTATATGTATATTTATATTTAATCATTTTTTCATATTCTATTCGCATGTTTCAAACTGTTTATTTAATTTAAAAATGAAGTACCAAATTAAATAATTAATATAATTTAAAATCACGGTGATAATGATGATTTTTAAAAATTTCACACTGTTTAGAAATTATACACGTATACAACCAATCCAAACTTGACATCTTAAGAAACTATGCTGTATTTATGTATTTAGGTTATAAAACCACAAATGGATTAATATAATTAAAACCGCATGTTTTCCTTTTAGATAATTAATTAGTTTTACTTGACATCCCCTTTGAGAATAATACAATACTGATAACGTACATAAATACAACGTACAATGAGTAAATTGTCAGCATAATTGCATAGATATAGCTGTAATTCATCATCAATTAAAACAAAATAAAAAAAAATGTTTTTTATTTTTTTCTTTGAACTAGAGTAAACCATCATTACTTTTCTATTAAAGTAAGCATTTAGTATTGTTTTTTTCTGTATTATATTAGGCTGGAACACTGATAGCATAGAATAGTTTTTGGCACGGTGTATTATTCCGAACCACATTGACAATATTTAAAAAAATTGTCTGTTGATAATTTTCCAGAATTAATTGGTTTTAAAATATGGTGTATCTTTACAATCTACTCTATTGTAAAATTAGAGTTTCATGTTCTTCTTGACTGTGTAGTATAACTTTAAACTTCTAATTTTAAAGTTATTAGAAAGTAAGTACATGTAACAAATAAACTAATTTGTTTCTAAACAAGGAAAATCTTTCATTAACTGATTTCTTTGGTGGTACACACAATCTTAATAGGTCTACAGAATATTTCTTCTAACTCATAAATAACGTAACAATAAAGAATAAATAAATTCAAAAAAGTTACATTTTATGTGTGTGTTCTATTTTTAAAATTTGCCAGCTCAGTAATATTTAAAGTATATATTGACAAATTAAATTAGAGTAAATTAGTATATTTTCCGGAAACGAGTAGGTACCTATTATCCCCTTGTTTATGTTACTTAAATGTTTATATACTTAAATTTTATGTACAAATGACTAAAAAAATAAAGTAATAAAATGCATACACAAATTTATTTTTGGACTTTTATTTTGTGACTTTTGTTAATTTCAAGCTATAAAATGTAGTGAAATACTATATGATCGAATAAAAACGGCGTCAGCGATGGCTATGAAATGAAGATCGCGGTCATTTTATACGTAAAATTATATGGGAAATGTCATCGATCGTCATTTCCAAGGCAGCTGGACACCGCTTTTTTCGATCATACGGTATATGGTAGGTACAACGTGGTATAACCCTGTATAATTCTATATATTTTTATAAAATGCTTTCAGTTAACCAACCAATCAAACTTCCATTTCGATATAAACTACCGTTCTCCTTGGAGCTTCCGCGTCGTATGAGAGGCCTATGTCCCTATAGGGTAGAAGCACCGGTTGTGGCCAGGTTAAGGGATTTTTAGAGTTTGACTTATCAGAAAAAAATATTTGTAGTTAATTTTGGAGATAAAACAAAATTTTTGGTGCTTCTTCAAATATTTTTCTTTCAAAATTTGCTTTTATTGTAAAGACCTGTATTCTTAATAAACAGAAAATAAGCATTTTATGAAAACATACGATTTTTCCCATTTTTGGCCACCTTGTGCCAAATGTGGCCACATTTACTACCATTTGTGGCCAAATTCTTGCAAAAATATTCTCTATATTGAGTCTTGCAGATAACTAAGCAAATAATATTATTTTATTATTAATTTCTTAAAAAAACATAAAAAGAGACATTTGGTAATTGTTTTTATTTTTAACAAAAAAAAAACATGAACGTTTATTCCTATAATTCTTAAAACAAATCAAGTGATACCTAATATCATATTTTGCTTTTTGTCTATGTTTTACAAATGTTAAATAAAAATTAGGTACATATTAATACTAATTTGAGGAACAATAAACAAAGTACACTAATTTATCAGAATCTTCTTGAATATTTCGTCCTATTTCTGCCAAAAGTCACTAACTTACTTTTTATTTCTTCCAAGACAAACGCATAGAAAACGCGTGTAAAGGTTAATTACATTGCATAAAGTTGTTGTTAAAGACTATTCGGTATTAAAATACAGCATAAATAGCCAGAAATCGTAGTTGATGACTTTTTCAATCGATTCTCCGCTTCAAAATATAGTTAGTGATTGGATTTTCAGGTTATTCGGAAAAATGTTAGTTAATGACTTTTGGCAGCAATAGGACGATTTGTTTGTTCAGGTACCACATATATGCCTCTTGAATTGATTTTTTAGATTCATCAATTTTCATTGTTATATCACTCAGTTTGTGTGGATACAACTGATTCCCGTACTTTAAAATAACAAAATTTTATTTCATTAATTCAATCCACTTATCATAGGTAATGGCTGATGGTAGATGTAGCCTCTTTTTTTAAAGATTAACAATTTCCTTAAGTTCATAATTATGTCTAGTCTTCTTTTCCTGCATGGTTTGGTCCAGTTGTCCTGAATCAGCTTCCTTTGAATTCTCATAATTTTTATTTCCATCGCATTCGTTCATTTTTATTCCATTTAGTTCTATATCTATATTATTTTCTATATTAGTTTTCTCATCCGAAGGAAAACTTGATGACGGTATATGTTCAGATTGGTAATCTTGGCCGATAATTATATTTGGGATATTATTCTATTTAGTACTATTATTCAGCTTTTATTAAAAGCTGAATAATAACAATTAAAATGTTTTTCATGTTATGTTGTCCGTCGTTTACACTTACATTTTAAAGCTAAATAGTAAGTGGCCACAACTAGATTTTGATCGTACGATTTTTGGCCATAACCTGGCTACAAGTAGAACATAATTAAATTTTAATTACACCTTTTGTGGCCACAGAAATAATTCCTAAATATTAATTATTTAAATATAATAAATTTAAAAAATAGTTACCAGATGTATAATATTTATAAAAATCATGGAAAATTTATCCCCAATACAGATTATTGTTAATAATTTGAGTTCTACTTACCAAGCTATCCTTAAGAAATGGGTTAAGAAAACAGCATCTAGTAAATATGTGCTACAACTTTTTGATTTAACGGCCGACTTTTACACCACATTTGAATATTTTCTATTGGGTATGGCGCTCGATATATCCATTTAGAAAATTATAGATGCACGGTCGTCACAATGACGTGAAAAAGCTTAATTTTTAAGATTTTTTAAAGAAGTGGCTACAACAGGGTCAATGGCTACAAATGGTGCGTCTACCCTACAGGGTCGCTTTTATGTATGGAAACGGTCGATTATTAGGTAAAATATAGCACGTACCGCAAAAAGTTATAGGATTTTTAAATATCTATTAGAGAGTAATATATATAAGGATACAGGATCGTTCATAAAGTCGTGGCACATCAAAGTTTCATTTTTTACATAGAACCCCTGTATATTATTACATATTTCAATTCTTCCTTCAATTCTAAGCAAACATCGAAATACACACAGTGTACCTCAAAGAAACCGTTTCCGAGTTATTGACTTTTGAAAATATCACTTAAACAATTCGATTTAATTAATTTCGATGCATATGGTTTGATTTAATGATGCCATTCGGCCGAAACTGTGATACTGTTGTAATGGGTTTTTAAATTCCTATTAGCTACTAGTAAATTTAAGTATACAGGGTCGGCCATAAAGTTGTGTCACATCAAACTTTTTTTTTTAAATGAAACCCTCTGTATATTATTGCATATTTCAATTCTTCCTTCAATTTTAAACAATAATCGTAATACACAATGTACATAAATTGAAGAATTGAAATGTTAAATAAAAATTTTGTAATTGTCAGACTTACTATACTCTCATTTTATACATCTATAAATGCTAACTTGAGAACTAATGTCAAATATTATTAAGTATTACAGTTTCGGCAAAATGGCATCGTTAAATGAAACTGAACATATCTATATTAATTAAATTAAATTGTTTAAGTGATATTTTCAAAAGCTAATAACTTGGAAAGTTTGGTATGAGGTCCATCTCACCTTTGTGTGGTATATTCTCAAACGCTCCCGTATTATCCAAGAGGTTAGATCTTAAAGGATCTATTCTTAAATTATATTATATTTTTCCATTCAAACACACACTGTTAATCAATTAAATTAGTATTACTTCGTTAAATTGTTTAGTGAATTAAACAATGTAAAGTGAGATGTACCTATTTGCATCTGATTTAAAATTATAATAATTGTTCAAAATATTCCTGTAGAACATTTTTCATAACTGACACATTGTAACAATAAAATTTATTCGTATTAGTAAAGACTACCGTAAATTAATAATTGTTAGTTACAATGTGAAAATTATCGCATCGAAAAATTTGCGTATAGTATTATTGTAATTATTATTGCACACATTATTTAAATGATATGTAAATGAGATAAGGTTTGCACAATATTACTTGATAAGTGGTGTTAGTTTACTTACCTTATTATTGAAAGAAAATTGTTACAGATTGGAATATTTAACAAAATATTTACGTATCAAGAATTGTTAATAGAAAAATGTAAAAGTATAACTATATTTTTAAAACAAATTGGTGGAAAAACATTCATAATATAAAAAATCATAAAAGATGAATACCTAACCGACTCTGTGGTCTGAGTGTTTGATGAACGTCTGGCGACTATTGTCCCGTGTGTGGACTTTCTGAACCGAATTTCAATAGATTCACCATTCCTACTAACAAAAATATCTAGAAAATATTTAAGTTTTCAGTCAACCCATTCTGAAGCAACTAACTTTATGTTATCGAACAAATACCATATGCAGTGACGAAATATCACTTAATGTCTGTGTTTGGGCTTCCTAAACAGAATTTTTCAATAGATTCACCATTCTTACTAAAAAAATATCTAGAAAATATTTAAGTTTTTAGTCAACCCATTCTGAAGCAACTATACTAAGAAAGAAATAGTTAAAACTTTATGTCATAGAGCAAACACTATATGCAGTGACGAAGCATCACTTAATGTTGAATTAAATAATATTAAAACAGATCAATGCGATGAACCGTATATATTGGGGAGACTAAACGTCTCAGAAAGTCCTTTAGTATGTTATACCAAACAAAGATAGAGTACAAAAACACATTACGAACGTAGGATCAGAAGACATGCAAGAAAAATCAACCACAGAAATTAAATACGCACTTCAACAAATAAAAAATGACAAAAGCCCAGGAGAAGATCGTATTACACCTGAAATGCTGAAAATGGGCGGAAACCCATTAGTGGATGCTGCGGAGGTATTGTTAAATAAATGTCTGATGGAGGGTAGAATCCCGAACCCATGGAAAAACGCAGAAGTTGTGCTATTATACAAAAAAGGAGATTATACAAATATAGAGAATTATAGACCAATAAACCTTCTCTCGCACCTATACAAGCTCTTCACTAGGATTATCAACAACCGACTGTCTACGAAACTAGATTCCTATCAGCCAATAGAACAGGCAGGCTTTCGAAAAAGTTTTAGTACCATCGATCATTTACAAACAATTAAAACAGTCATTGAAAAAACAACTGAATACAATATACCACTACATTTGGCCTTTGTAGACTACCAAAAAGCCTTTGACAGCATCGAAACCTGGTCATTTCTAGCTGCAATGGAGGACGCGAGAATTGATTCCAGTATTATTCTATTATTAAAAATATCTATAATAGTGCAACCTTCCAAGTTAAATTAGACGATGACCTCAAAACAGAAAAAAAAGCACTCGGCAAGGGCGTGAGACAAGGAGATACCATCTCTCCCAAGTTATTTACACTGGCACTGGAAAATATCTTCAAGAAATTAGAATGGGAAAAGAGAGGTCTAAACGTCAGTGGGGTAAACCTTAGCCATCTTAGGTTCGCAGACGATATTGTCTTGCTGAGCACTGACATTCAAGAACTGAACACCATGCTAAAAGAGCTAAATGACCAATCCCAGAAAATTGACCTTAAAATGAACTTGAGGAAGACCAAGATAATGAGCAACAATATCCATAACAT